ACTCGTAATATTGTATTCACAGTTTGCAACTGCAAGTGAATAAGAAAGTTTCCACAGTTTGTGGGCAGAGATAAACTCTGCAGAATATTCATCTTTTTCTCCAACATTATTTTTCTTTCTCAAACTTTTATTTTCATTGTCATTGTGTTATTGATAACAATCTTGAGATCAAGATTGAGTGAAATTCTCCATAGGTTGTGGTCGAATTTCAACATCTGGTATCTAGAGCTCTGGTTGCGATTTAAGGAAGGAAAATCGTGATGGCGATGAATCATCCAAACGGGCACTATTCGGAAAATATTTTGATTCTCAAGAAAGATAATCATGAGAATCAGTGCAAGCAAATTAAAGGGGTTTTCTATTATCAAGATCTTTGGGATCTTATGAAGGAAGGAATAACACCACTTGCAGAAAACGCGACAGATCAAGAAAAGGCTGCACATAAAGAATTGAAGAAGAAAGATTATAAATCTCTCTTTATAATCCATCAATGTGTTGACCCAAATGATTTTGAAAAGGTTAGTGATATAGAATCAACGAAGGAAGCGTAGGAAATTTTGAAAAAGTCGTTTGGAGGAGCAGAGAAGATGAAAGAGGTGAGGTTACAAACTCACAAGAGAACCTATGAATTGCTTCAAATGGAAGAAAGTGAAAGTATAACAAATTTCTTCACTAGAGTTACAAAGCTGGTGAATCAAATCAAGATACGTGGAGAAGTGTTGACATCAAGATTAGTTGTTGCAAAAATCTTGAGGTCATTGCTCCAAAGTTCGACCACGTGGTAGTAGTCATAAAAGAGTCGAAAGACTTGTCAGTATTGACGGAAGAATAGCTTCAAGGGACACTTGAGTCTCATGAACAAAGGATGACTGAAAGAGCTGCGGGAAAGTCAAAGAGTGATATGGCTCTATAGGCGCATTCAAAAAAGAAAAAGAAAGGCAAAGAAAGCTGGAATGGAAATAAAGGTAGAGGAAGTTACAACAATTCGACTGATCGATTTCAGCAGGGAGGAAACTGGTCGAATTAAAGAAAATCCTGGAACCAAGTCAACCAAAGATATGGTGGTCAAAAACATGACAAAAGTCGCATTCAGTGTTACAATTGTCAGAAGTATGGTCACTATTTTAGTGAGTGTCGAGAAAAGAAGAAGAATCAAGAAACTGATGCAAAGCTAGCGAAACATGAAGAAGAAGAGATGTTGCTGATGATCACAATAAGAGATGAAGAAAGATTTCAGGATCAGTGGTACTTGAACTCAGGATGCTCATCACACATGACTGAAAGGAAAGATTGGTTTGTCAACATAAAGCCCTCGACGAAGAACATGGTGAAATTTGCAAATGACAATACTCTAGAAGTTGAAGGTATTGGTGATGTTCTGATTATAAGGAAAGATGGCAACAGGCCAGTAATTTCTAATGTGTTGTACATACCAGGCATGAAGAGTAATTTTTCAGTATAGGCAGTTGGTCGAAAAGAACTACAAAGTGTCGATCGAAGATAAGATGATGAGAGTTCTCGACTCAGGTGGTAGGTTAATTTTGAAGGCTCCAATGTCTCAGAATAGGACCTTCAATATTGAACTTAATGTGATGGAGCATAAGTGTCTTGCAACTGCAACCAGCAGAGATGAATGGATATGGTATTATTGACTTGTCCATCTCAACTTCAAAGACATCAGAGAATTGAAGAGAAAAAATATGATTTCAAGATTACCTGAAATTGACATTCTAAGTGTAGTGTGTGAAGAATGTGTTCAGGCGAAACAACACAAGAATAGCTTCAGCAAGGATGCAGGAAGCAAGTCGAAGGCAATTCTCGAAGTCATATACTCGGATGTATGTGGTCCTATCCATGTGGATTCAATTGGAGGTAACAGATATCTTGTCACGTTCATAGATGAAGTGATCAATGTATTTGCCAAATTTAAATTTATGATCGAAAGATAAAGTGGTTGAAAGTTAAAGATTCTGAGGACTAATGGTGGTGGAGAGTATGTGTCGAAATATTTCGATGAATTATGTGAGAAAAAAGGGATTGTGTATGAGGTGGTTCCACCCTACACTCCACGTCAGAATAGAACTGCAGAAAGAAAGAATAGAACCATCTTGAACATGGTGAGAAGTATGTTGAAAGGCAAGTATCTATCCAAAGAGTTATAGGGGAGAAGTTGTGTCGACTGCAACATACGTCTTGAATAGATGTGCGACGAAGAAGCTAGAAGGAATTACGCTATATGAATGTTGGTCTGGTGTCAAGCCTAGCTTAAGTCATTTGAAGGTGTTTAGATCTATAGCACATAGACATGTGCCAGATGAGTTGGGAAGAAAGCTTGATGACAAGTCGAGTCAAATGATCCTAATATGATATCATTCGAATGAAGAGTACAAATTGTTCGACCTAGTGAACAAGCAAGTTGTGATCAGCAGGGACGTGATCATAGATGAACTTAAGGAATGAGATTAAATTGAGAATGTTAAGAAGGATTCATTGAGAATCTTATATGAAGAACCAACTAGTGAAGTCGAAAGAGAAGTTCGACAAGAAGAAGTCAGAGTTGAAGCAGGCCCAGGCAGACCTCAACGAACAAGGCACATGCCTGCAAGATTGCAAAAATGTGTGATTACATCAGTTCATGTGGTCGATGAAGAAGATGAGCTGGTACGTTATGCTTTCTACACAGATGTTGAACCAGTCAATGCAGCTGAGGCATTGAAAGATTCGAAGTGGGTGAAAGCAATGAATGAGGAGTTAGAGTCCATTAAAGTCAATAACACTTGATCACTTGTCGAATTACCTCAAGGCAAGAAGACAATTGATGTGAAATTGGTTTACAAGGTGAAAGTGAATCCTAAAGGAGGGGTAAGTCGACACAAGGCGAGACTTGTGGCGAAAGGATTTCTTAAGAAAGAAGGATTCGAATTCGACGAAGTTTTCGCACCTGTTGCTAAGATCGAAACAATCAGGTTGGTTGTTGGTCTAGCAAACATGAACAATTGGCACACATGTCAGATGGATGTGAAGTGTGCATTCTTGAATGGCCCCTTAGACAAATAAGTTTATCTTGCACAACCAATTAGGTTTGTGAAACAAGGCGAAGAAAGAAAGGTGTACAGACTACATAAAGCTCTGCATGGACTTAAGCAAGCTTCAAGAGCTTGGAATAAGAAGATCAACAACTTTTTAAGGGAGAAATTTTTTTTGAAGTGTACGACTGAGCATGGAATATATGTAAGGAGAAACAATAGTGAATTTCTTATACTATGTCTCTATGTCGATGACCTGTTGATAACAAGAAGTTGCAAGAAGGAGATCAAAGATTTCAAACATGACCTAAGTGAGGAGTTTGAAATGCCAGACTTAGAAAGTCTCTCATATTTCTTTGATATCAAATTTTACAAGAGTGGTAGAGGTTTGATGATGCACCTGATATGCATATCAAATTTTACAAGAGTGGTAGAGGTTTGATGATGCACGTGATATGCAGGTGAAATACTCGAGAGATTTGAGATGCAAGATTGCAACCCAACTTCGACTTCAGCTGAGACCAAATTGTAACTGTCGAAAGGTATTACAGTGTGGGTATGGTAAGCAGATCCATGCAAAAGTCAGAGGTATTACACCTAGCAACGACGAAGAGTCTAAAAAACACATTGTTATAATATTATAAATATTTTATAAAATTCTTTATATTAATTTAGAGTGTAAAAAAATTTCCTAACATCAAATTATTATAACATTCTGCAAACTGAAACAACTAAGATTAAGTATCTTGAACCGCTTAATCGTATCTGATGCTCGAGGGCCACCTACCGCCCAAACGAACTCTAATCGGGCACTGCCGCACGACAAACCACCGGCTCTTCCGCTATTTTCAACAATTGCCGCACTGCCATCACCATGTATCGAACTTTATTAGTTAACTTTTCTATTGCTCTCCAACTTTCAACAACTTTAGTTTCTAACCGTGAAATACAATTTTTTTTCTCCATTATTTTAAGATTTAACACATACTTTTACAATTATTTTAGTAGCAAATGTAAGTTGTGATCAGATATGTAACATCTTGTGTTTTTGTGAATAATTTGATTTCATGGAAGAGATGCTGTTGCCCAAAAAAGTACAGAAGTCTAGTATCGATTTATGGCTCATGCTACATGCAAGCTTGTGTGATTGAAACATTTACTGCAAAAACCAAATTTGTGAGTTGGTGAGTGGAAACTTCTATGCGATAATCAATCAACTTCACACCTCTTCTCCAATTCAATTTTTCATGAGGAAAACTAAAAAAAGTCCATTGTCAATTCATCAGAGAAAATATTTTCTATAGAATAATCAAAACTTTTTTTTTTTAATTTCTAAGGATCAACTTGAAATATTTCACAAAATCTCTACGATGATAAGCATAAACCCAAAGATAATACTTACTTCTATAAAGTACTAAGCCCCAATGAATTTTCCATCCACCAGATGTTACAGAAGAAAGAAACATCAAAGTAAAACACGTAGCCTGTTATCTACTTTAGTTAAATGACAATAGCAAAAGCTTGGAGAAACACGACAAAGAAGCCTTAAAAACACCAGCTTCCAATGTCAAAAGAAGATTATTGGCTATTAAATACAAACCTTAAGTCCTTACAAAGAAGCAAAAGGCCTAAAGATTAAACAAAAGCGAAAAAGTAATCTACAAACTTACAAGATAAGCCCGTGAATGTTCTCGAGGGACAGAAACCCTGTCGTTGGTGGCTAGCATTGTCTTCTGTTAATCCAGAGCATATTGTACAGCATTGTCTCAAGAAGTGAGTTTCGATCTTGTGTTTCTAAAACATATAGTCAAGAAGGTTTAAAACAACGCCTGGCGAAAACTTTAGCATCACACTATATACAACAAGACTCTCTATCTGCGCGTGGAAGTGATGTCTTTTTAATCTGCAAGCATTAAGAGCAAAACATGGCTAAGACAGACAACCCCTAGGAAGCTCAGCAAAAAACAACTAGGATCAATTACACTTCATTTCAATTTCAGAATCGTCGTCCTTCAGGTTATCATCAGGGTTGTCGCCGGGAAGAAGACCAAGAAGTGGCAGAGGCAATAACGAGCTAAGATTGCAGAGGATTATCAAAGCTGCCAAGTTATCAAATTTGTCCTTAGTAATTCCAAATACTTGAGTCAGGCCTGCACCTATCAGTCCCCCAAGAACACTCCCTCCATTAGATACAGACATGAGAGTTGCGAAAAGAGTTGCTTCCATCCCCTCCGGACATAATCTTGCTGCTAACACAAGAACAGGCATGAAAGAAGCCTGAAAAACAACAGCATTCAGGCTCAAGACAAATTTTGAACTAACAAATAATATTTAAGCTGAATGTTTGAAATAAAGCCTAAGAACAAGGTAATTCAAGCAGTGAATGATGATTTTTATGGCATTATCTGGAATTAACTTTCTAGTAAATCATAAAGATATCAGTATTGACTTGCCATGGTCAAAGCTACAACCTAAACCCCTATAAATGTTCTTTTGCAAGAGAAAGATGAGCATCCTCAGGAAATATATAATATATTTCAGTATGAGGTGCCTTAAAAACCCTGGAGAACCATGTATTCCAGCAAATAAGCTGTCTACTTAGAAAAACTATATGTTCAAGTAAATTTCTTAGTCGTGAAATAAGATATCAAGAAAAGGTGGAAGAGTTATGTTCACAAGCTACTCTTAATGAAGTATACATGATTTATCAAACTTTAATCGGCTAAACATTATATAGGAAGATCAAAATAATACTTATTATAATATATGAGAATAAGGAAAAAATAACTTTGAAGAGGAGGGATAATGGCAAAGCAATTGGACCAAATAATATACATTTTGAGATATAAAGACCAAAACCAGAGAGAGAGAAAGAGAGAAAAAAGAAAAGTAATATTACGGAAATCGGAATGAATTACAAAGTAAACTCTCTTCACTATCATGAGCGTAAGACCCTGAGCTTACAGCCAAGATTCCGAGAAACTGCTAAATCATTCACAGTACACTGATCATTTTGTTCCTCCACACTAGCTTAATAACAGTGAAAACTAATTTCAGTCTAATTGAATTGCCCTTTTTTGTCTCTTTTGGTATGCACCTTCTCGGCCATTAACTATATATCCTTAAATTTCCCCAACAACATGTTATGGTCCCTTGTCTTGGATCGTGTTGACACAGTCCTAGATGCAGTAGAAACTTTGCTTCGACCTATGGTGAAGGTAGAACGGACTCGTCCTTGACAGAGTCTCTTCTTAAATTCACAAATATTTTTTATAATGATTATTGATAACTTTCATTGATAATTTGAAATGCCTTTAAATAGACTTACAATAGAGTAAGAATCCCTAATTAAACTAGGTCAATAACAACTTTTCCCTAAAATTACTATCATTTAAATTTAAATGATAACAATCCTAGTTAATAGGTAGATTCTGTTTTGACCCCTAAATCCTATCCTAAAATTACTGAAATAATTCTGTTATGCTAACTTATAAAAACTAACAAATAAATAATTAAATCCTACTCAGCAAACTAATCCTAATCAGCAGCAGAATCAGTGGTCTTCCTCTTTTGATACTACTTTCCCACAAATGCAATATATCCTTAAATTTCCCCAGCAACCCCCATTGTTCTATCAACCAGCCCAACATTTGTCTCAGTACGGACACAGCCTTGTCCTTGTTGTAAATATTAGACTGTGAATAGTAATTAGTAGTATTAGTAATGAGGCCCATTAGTCAAAACCCATTAGGTTTTGTATTCTCTCTTATTTAAAGCATGTAGTTGCAGCATTGTAAGCAAAACTTTTAATTCTATCAGTGAAATATTTTACAACATGGTTTCAGAGCTCCTGTTTTTTGGGGGTCTCGCTTCCGCATAAACCCTAGCCGCCGTTGTAACGGAGTTTTTTTCTTTCTTTCACTTCCGGTTATCCTTGCAGTTTGTTTTTTTTTTTTGGGTGTTTGGATCATTGTTGTTCTGTGTTGCAGCACATTCTATTTCTTGGCTTTGCTTCACATCTCTCACTGTTCACTCATCTTTGCAACCCTACACTGCTTGTTTTTTGTGATATTTTGTGTTTTTTCTTTGTGATTCAATACATATTTGTTGTTTGTTCCTCTCGATTGTCCCTTCAATGGCCGAGATTATTAACGAACAGCCATCTCCGCCTCCACCTCCCACAAATCCACCAGTCCCATTTAATGCTAAGGATTTTGTCGTTCAAAAAGGTTACTGGCTTACCGGAAAAAAATATTTTCAATGGTCTCAGTTCATCAGACACACTCTAAAATGTTGTGACATGCTAGATCATATTGAAGGTAATCCTCCTCTGGTTACGGCTCCTAATTTCCCTTCTTGGGATAAAGATGATTCTGCTATTATTACTTGGCTTTGGAACTCCATATCTCCAGAAATTAGTAGAAATTGCATTATCTCTCAAGTGCAAAGGCAGTTTGGGATTATCTTCGTCGAAGTTATTCCATGAAACAAGATATGTCTGCGTGTTATGATTTAAAGAGGAAAATCTTCAACAATAAGCAGGGAAGTCTTTCGGTCAACGAGTACTTTGGAGTTCTCAATGGTTTTTGGATTGAATTGGATCAATATCAAAATTTGAAGATGGAGTGCAGCAAGGATACTGCCACCTTGAATACTGTTGTTGAGCGGGATAGGATCTTTGATTTCTTAGCAGGCCTTAATGCTGAATTTGACCCTATTCGGGTGCAGATTTTGGGTAAGGAAAAATTTTCTGATCTTAATGAAGTTTTTTACACTATTTGTAGTGAGGAGACCCGTCGTCAAGCTATGCTTCATGAACAGCCCCCGGATGTGTCAGCACTAGTAGCTAGCAAAACAACAAAACAAGGACCACCATCATCATCATCTAAGAATGGTCGTGACAAATTCTATTGTGAGCATTGCAACCGATCAGGGCATACAAAGGATAGGTGTTTCAAACTACATGGGAGGGAACAGGTTCTTAGCCGAGGAGGTAGTTCTCGCAACATGCACCAGCATCAGGCACATGTTGCCACACATGCCCATGATACTGAAAGATTTGAAAAAGGGGGAAATGATCTTTCCTCCTTTAGTCAGAATGACGTGGAACGGTTGAAGTCTATGCTTGACTCCATGAGTAAGCCTTCTGGTTCTGGGTCTCTAGCAATTACTGGTAAGAGTTTGTGTTCCCGATCTTTTACTGTTTGTGGTAATATCCCTAAGAATGCGTGGATTCTTGACTCTGGTACTACTAATCATATGACATTTGATTCCACATTATTATGCTCTCATACCACACCTTCGAGTATTCCTTATATCACTGTTGGTGATGGCTCTCATGCTTGTGTTGTTGGCACTGGAAATATTGACTTGCAACCTCCATTTCAGTTGCAATCTGTGCTTCATGTTCCCACACTTTCCCACAATTTGATTTCCATCCATAAGCTTACCCGTGATCTAAATTGTAAAGTAATGTTTTTTACGTCCCATTGTGTTTTTCAGGACCTTACCACGGGGAAGACGATTGGAATTGCTAAGGAAAAGGAAGGGTTATACTACTTCTCTGATGACCATCCAAAGGTGTTGTCCTCCTGTCTCCAGTCTCGGTCTTCCTCTTCAGCCTCACAAATTTGGCTTCAGCACAAGCGTCTCGGTCACCCTCCATTTTATATAATTAAGTCTATGTTTCCGTCATTGTTCTTAAACCATTCTGTTGAGTCTTTTAAGTGTGATGTTTGTCAGTTGGCAAAACACAATCGTGTAACTTTTCCTTCCAGCTTTAATAAAAGTGTTGAACCTTTTGATGTGATTCATTCTGATGTTTGGGGACCTGCCCCTACCTCTAATATTTTTGGTGCAAAATGGTTTGTTTCATTTATTGATGATTGTACTCGGGTAACTTGGATTTTCTTGACGAATACTAAATCCGAAGTACCACAAATATTTATCCAATTTTATAATATGGTACAAATACAATTTGGGAAATGTATAAAAAGAATTCGTTCTGACAATGGTAAAGAATATGTCAATCATACCTTCTCCAACTTCACTAGTAAACATGACATTCTTCATGAATTCACATGTGTTGACACCCCACAACAAAACGGTGTCGCAGAAAGAAAAAATCGTCATTTACTTGAAGTTGCTCGATCTATCCTTTTTCAAATGTCTGTTCCCACCTCTTATTGGGGGGAGGCAGTTCTTACTGCTGCCTATCTGATTAATCGGGTCCCATCTCGAGTGTTAGGTAATATTAGTCATGCTCAATTTATGCTCTCACGTTTTCCCTCTGTTCCTATCTTACATAATCTTGAGTCTCGCGTGTTTAGTTGTATTGCTTTTGTTCATGTTCACAAACAATATCGCAACAAGTTGGATCCACGTGCTGTCAGATGTATCTTTCTGGGTTATGCACCCAATAAAAGAGGGTACAAATGTTATCATCCTCTGAGTCGGAAATTCTTTGTCTCCAAAGATGTCACCTTTCATGAAAATGTGTCATACTTCACTCATTCTCAGTCTCAGGGGGAGAACATGAATGACTTAGAGTCTGAGTCCGAGTTTCTGATCCTTGGTCCTAGCCTCCCGAGTTTCTGATCCTTGAACCCGAGTTGTCACCTAGTTTGAGTTTGAGTCCTAGTTCAACCCCTGAATCTGAGTCAGTAATTGTTCCTGGTCCTTCAATGCCTTATGTTCCACAGGAATCAGCACCTTCAGCACCAACTCTAGTGTATCAGAGAAGAAGTAAATCTGACCTTCTCCAGAAACAAATTCAATCGTCTGAACCGGAGGTAAGTACTGAAAATGATTCCTCAAATGATGATTGTTCTATTTCTGATACTTGTGACACTAATCCAGTTAATTTACCCATTGCTTTGAGGAAGGATAAAAGATCGTGTCCCTCCGTATATCGACACCCTATCTCTCAATATGTCTCCACTAAACATCTTTCCACACAATATCAAAGTTTTATTGCAGCTGTTGATTCTGTGAAAATCCCATTATCAGTTGAAGAAGCATTGCAAAATAGAAATCGGGTCCAAGCTATGGATGAGGAAATGAGAGCACTTGAAAAAAATGGTACTTGGGAGATTATTGAAAGGCAAAGAGACAAAAAGCCGGTTGGATGCAGATGGATCTATACTGTAAAGTATAAATCTGATGGCACACTTGATCGGTACAAGGCAAGACTAGTGGCAAAAGGTTATACTCAGAAATATGGTATTGATTATGAGGAGACATTTGCCCCAGTGGCAAAAATGAACACGGTTCGAATT